CGAAAATTTTGTTCCAAATTACACGAAAAGCGATATTTTCTCCGAGAAAGAAATAGCACAGAAACGAAAAATGTCAGAAAATTACAATTTATCTCAACGTGACCCATTTTTTGAACTGAAATTGAGATAAACAAAATTCTTAGAGACTGGGACCAGAATTAAGAAAATTTGTTCAACGAAGAAAAGTGAAGACCAATTTAGGTCTTTATCAGTCAGCATTCTATTCCTAATCTGAGCAGAGTTGAAATCATTATCCGTTCAAGTAATCCCTCGCTTCAGCTTCAGTTAATCTAGCAACCTGACAATATCAAACATGATTTTTTTTCCAAAACACAGTTCACTTGAAGCAACCAGGCTGGCTCAGAAATCCTAGTTCCTACATCAAGAGCTAAAAATCTAATGAATGCGTAGATACCCCGGATCTGAATCGGCCGAATCAAAAAAGAAGAAAAAAAAAAAGAGAAAAAATTCTGAAACAGCCCTCGATTAAGTTAATACCATTCGATAGAGAATTTTTTCCTATACACTTCAATATATTTACATCTCCAGGTTTTCCAGAAACAGAGTACCCGGAATAGGACACAAACTTTAGTTTTGGTCAGGCCAGGTCTGACGAAAATTGTTCATAATGCCGTGAAACGGGAAACTTCTTAGACGTCGGGCAGCTCCAGCAGCAAACACCCAAAAATGTAATGGTAAAAATCCATAAACGATCCAAAAATACCAAATAAAAAAATTCTGTTCAACACATTTTGCAAAATTTAGGGTTGTCTTTATTTCCGTTACAGGAAACCTGTGTCTCACAAGTATTACAGTAAGTAGGGCAAAAACGAAAAAATCCAGAAAAAAAATTGTCAACTATGAGTTCTGTACCACATGATGCGTTCTATTCTTCCAATCAGGCCAAACGAGAAAGTTTACACATCCTCCTCCACTAATAATGGTAGCTGTAACACCGTCTCTCCTAACAATATCGAGACCACCATGAAAAGTTATAGAGTCCTCATTGTCCAGACTGAAATATAAATACCATTTGAAGAGCACTTATTGTATTCCCAACTTACAATGTATAAGTTCTAGACGATTCGTCATCAACTCTATCAAATTCGATACCGTCAAAAAGTTGAAAACCATTCACCGGTCCATTCAAATCAACAACCATACACGTTGTTCGAGAGCTTCCACCATTTAACCAGTGCTTCAGAAATCGATTAATATCAGAACTTGTGAGCTCAGACTTTTCAATTGTCATATAAACCACGTCGAGTTCCAATAAGTTCTCGATTGTGACCCAGAAACTGGGGTTTATATCGAGTTTACGGAAATTCTTGGCAAACTTC